GATCACCTGCCTGTCATTSACAGAACCACTTCTCTCCAGTGACTGCCCCGGCGGGGAAGTCTGGCAGCGTGACGGGCAGGTGCTGAAAATGCTCATTTTGTCTCTGACATTCATGGTAGGCATGGTAAGGACAGCAGTAAATTAGAGCAGACAGTTGCACATGGTCTCATTCCATGTGCAACATGCTCCGTCTTGGAGCTGGTGTTGCTGTTTCAACAGCTTTATTACCAACCTGGAAGACGGGCTGCATTACACCCCTGGCTGGCAGCCACTTACCACTAGGACTCCTTGGAGGTCACTGCTGGAGGTGATGATCCTGCTTTAACATCTTCATTAATGACCTGGGTGATGGGGTGCCTTACACCCCCAGCAGGTCCACTGATGGTGCTAAGTGGCAGGGAGCAGTTCATGAGCAAGGCAGCTCTTCAGAGGGACTGTAGAATAGCACTGACTGAAAACTTAGGAAGTTCAAGGGCAAATGCAACTTGGGTTGGAGTAATCCCATGCAGCAGCACGGGCTTGTGGACATCTGGCCAGTAGGCAGCTCTGCAGGGACTTGAGCGTCGTGGTGGACAGCAAGTTGAGCGTGAGTCAGCCGCGTGGCTGTGCTGGGCTGTATGGCACACAAGTGCAGCCAGATGGAGGGAAGTGCTTGTTCCCCTCTACATGGCACTTGCAAGTCCACATCCAGAGTCCTGCAGCCAGTTTGGGGCTCCCCAGTAGAGGAAAGACAGTGACAAACTGGAGCAGGTCCTGTGCAGGGCCACCAAGATGGACAGAGGCTGGAGCACATGACTAACGAGGTAAAGCTGAGGGTTTATTCAGTGAAAAATAGAGGGCATCTTATTGCTGCCTACCCAGGAAGATGCGGATGAGACAAGAAGCCAGAGAACTGCTCTGACCTTCCCGTGCTCTCCGGGGCAGGGAGCCACAAACCTGCCCAGGCTCAGGTACCTGTCTCTAATCTACCATCTACTCATCTGCCACTACTAAGCTGCACCYTTCCCTGCACTGCTGGTGCCCAAGTGCGTCCTTCACAACTGAAATATTCTCTTTTATATGGGTTGTTTTATAAGGGCTTCTTTCTTGCCACTTCCAYGCCTCACYGTTGTGGTCTTTCTCACTCTGTGTRATACTTACAAGCAAAACCCATCCGTCACCAGCAAAACCCATCCGTCACCAGGAGGGTTCCCTGTAACCAGGACTTTATGACTGGGGCACCAGGTGCACAGAACTGACTTATTTTCTGAAGTCTGTCTTAAAAGCTTAACCAGCAAGTCTGCAGCTTTGACACTGGTAATGGATTTCCCTCCTGACACACCTAAAATCATGYGCTGACCTAGCAGGAACTGACTTAAAAGCTCACGAAACTCTCACTCTTACAACACTAACACACATGTGGGCAGACCTGATGTCATTCTTCTGCGGAAATATTATCCAAAAAGGCAGCAGATGGCACAGGGAATGGATTACAGCTAATATTTATATGCAGAATTATTTGACTAATATGATTTGTCAGACTGTAATCTAAGACCTGCCAAATAATTACTATTCATCTTTTTCTACTGTAATTCCTTTCACAGTTTACTTTCAGCTTAAGGCCTAATTAAAAGATTAAGGACTTTAAGCAGCCATTTCTTTTGCCTGCAGAGCTGCCTGAAAACGCGACACGCGCTGACGTGCAGTAGGTGCAGTGCAAAATCCCATTAAGGCGCCGCTTCCCGCAACACACGGCCCTCCCTTGCACGGGGCCTTGCTGCTCACTGGCACCATTTTTAATTCTCTCAGAAGAAATTATACCAAAGATTGCGTTTTTAGTGGAAAAGTACATTACAATAATAAGATTATYGGTAAAGCTGGGTAATAAATGAATTTTGCTCACCTATCTCTTTTTCTGTGACCTCACCCAGTTTTTCCAAGGGTTTCCTAGACAAACACATGCCCTCCGCTGTCAGCGGAGTTTAGCTTATTTCTTGCACTGGTTCACGCTCCTTTGTGATACATGGCAGTGTCCACAGGTTTTCTGTCTTATCGGTCCAGATTTCATTCCTGCCGAGCAGGGCTTCTTGTAACTCCGCTCTTTGYGACAGGTTTCTGTCGCAGTTGCCCATTTGGCACCACTGGGATGCATGCAGTTACCAGGGAGAGCTGAGCTCCTCCGGACATGAGCAACGACCCCAGCTTGAAACAGTTAATATATGTGTCTTTAAGTCTCAAAGGCCTCTCTGTTGTTGAGGCTTGATAGGTAGCTAAATCTATCACCAAATGTATGCCTGTATTATAAAGCATACACTTATGTGTATACATATATACCTATACAAGCACACACACACACACATGCACATACATATGGATTGTATATGTTGTACATATTCAAGCTGTGCCTCTGTTTTGACTGACTACAAGGATGGATTTCCCTCCTCAAAGCCCCAAGGCCTTCTCAAGCCAAACCATTGAAGAAAGCAACAACAAATTTCCAGTTCTGCAAACCTTGAAGATGTACCCAGGTGCCTCATTGCAACTGAAGCCAAACAGGAGCCTTCCAAAACAGGAGCCAGTTTTCCAGGCGCCTTTGGGCACTGAGATATTTGCTGCCAGGCCATGATCACTGCTTGCAAATGACAGCAGGGACACGCAAGAGTGCAGGCACCTCGACTTTCCTCTGCAGGAGTGAGGTGCCCGTATCTCCTCGGTGGACAGAAATCAGACAACACAGTCCTATGTAACCATCAGAAGCAGCACGCTKAGCTCTCAGTGCTTAGCATGCCCAGGAACGGATACCTATGGAGCTACTTCTGCTCGATGTTTTAGATTCGCTATCTTCTTTTTCTATCACTGGCTTTATTTAAAACACAGCCAGTACTGCAGAAGAACAAGTGCATTGCATGCAAACAGGCGCCCGTGGATTGCAGAGGATGAGGCGCTCTGTGTGCACACAGGACCCCAACAGCTGTAGAAATAAAACTTTATTTGATATTAAGTGACTAGATAAGGAGCACTCCTATTTAAGTTTAAAGCCATATAGTTTTCTCCTATATGTTTCTGAAAAAAAAAGTTATCCTACAAAACAACAATGTTTCCTTAACAGGGAGCTATCAAAAATAACAAGGGAAATTCTATTTATGACTGTGTGTGTCTAATAATCCTCTTCACCTGAATGATGCCTTCCAATTTTTCATTTGGATAAAGCAATATTAGAGGGCAGAGTATGTTCACGGTATAAAGTAACCAACTAGCCAACTGCAGGCTAGCCATTAAAGGCCTCGGTTCATCCAGGCATTTAAGCACTTACTTACCTAAAAATAAACCTTCAAACGTGTGGGTTGACCTAGCAACACATTTAAGCACTCATTTAAATGCCTTGAGGAATTAGAGTCACGGGGCCCATGAGCTGGTGGAGCGAACACAGGCCGTGGCCGGGCGAACTGCCTGCCCGCGCGCTCGGCATCCCAGCACTGACAGCAAGATCCGTCCATGGGAGGCACCGAATACGGAGCATGTCACCGACCGCCAGGGACAGCCAGGAAAGCCAAAAAGCATCAGTAACCTGCTCAGTTTGGAACTAAAATAAGTAAATAAAACAATCAGTCGTCATACAGGAGTCCTCAGAATATTGCAGCTACAGCAATTTAGGCAGCAACAGGATTTACCTGTTGCTTTCTCCACCCAGGCTTAAATCAAAATAAAAACAACTAGAAAAATGTCATCCTGAGGCCATGACAAGCATGGTTCGCTCTCCAGAGATCACAGGCAAAACCCACACAAGCACAATCGGTACCGSTGGGGCTTCTTCAGCAGACATCCCTTCTCTTTGGGGCTTTATGGGTTACACTCGCAGTCAGAACAGGAGCAAAGTCAGCGGTCAAACTTTCCAAAGCAGCCGCGGCTGCGACACACGCACAGTGGGTAAATGGCTCTTCCTAAAACACCAGCTCATGCCCATGCAGCACTCGTGCTGCCCGTCTGATCTGCTGCTAATTATTTCTGAATCTGTGTTGCTGCCTGATGGCAGTCATGGTGTTTAACAGCAAAGTCCATGTCCTCTTTGCGCACACCTCCCTCTAGTGGGCACAGAGCCCCGGAAAAGGAGTAAAATACACACGGTAATTTCTCTAGAAAGACATAAAGATAAATAATAAAGGGGGAAAAATGGTGTCCAGCAGCTTTTATAACATCACCTCTTATCTGCCAAGGGAAAAAAGTAATGGCAATCTAGTGAAATGCTGAAATTACAGGAGATTGAATCGAGAAGCAATTCTTGCTGTGTCTATAAACGTCTACTTCATGGCTATGCAGGGACTTCTATACGTCTAATGTTCTATACGTCTAACATTCTGTAAGTCCAAACTTTCTAAACTGAACGTTTACTTCAGTAATGAGTACTGAACGTTTACTTCAGTTACTTCAGTAAGTGTAAATGTCTTCATTTGCGTTGTGGAGCTTGGGAAAGGCTTCGAGGGCAGGATTCTGTCAGGAATTACAGCCCGGGGCTGTGCCCGGTGAGGCGCCCGCTGCGGCTGCCAGCGGAGAGGAGCGCGGGGCCCCGCGGCGGCCTCCCGGGGGTAGGGGAAAGTGTTTGTAGTGCAGCGACAGACCAACGTCATTTAAACGGATTTAAACGGAACGGCGGGGCCAAGGTCGTGCTCGTAAGGAAGCGCCGCTGCGCCGCTCAGCTCCCCTCTGCGGGAGGATGAGGCGCCGTGCCCCTTGCCCCGTGCCCGGGCCGTGCCCGG